TTCCCTAGGTTTCTCAGAAAGTAAAACACCTTAAATATGGATTGCTTTAAATAAAGAGAAGAAGGGCGAAGCAAAAATAAACAGGCTGTCTGAAGGTGTTCTCGTTGTGTGAGAGCGGGCTCAGCTCTCAAAGGAACAATACATTCCGAATCTTTTGCTGGACAGAGCTCAGCCTGTCCAGAAAACCACGAGGGTTTAAGTTTTTTTCCATTAAAAGAAGTGTGACCAAATGAATGTGAGAGGTGCAGAAGGTGTGGGCTTACATGTGGAGAAATAAATGGATTTAGACAAACACAAAGTCATTTCTAAGACGTGGGAATCTGTGAGAAATAGGCCACATTAAGTGGGACAATGATTGGGCTCTCTTGAATAGGCCCAAACAAAGTTTATGGGTCGACATAAAAAATGTGTTTTCTTCTCAACTCAGAGGGGTCTTAAATGGTAGGCCATTGAAACCAGTCCAGGAGAGGTGGTGGTGAACCCTTGGCACCCCCGAAGTATAGTCAGGGAGCATGAATGGAGATCCCTGGTGGGGCATTGCTCTCTGTATTTACTGCGCTGCTTTGCAGACAGGTTGTTCCTCTATATTCATGGCTCATTAATGGCCAACCAGTTAAATCAGAGCCCCACCGTTTAGACAGTTTAAATGCTAAAAAAGGCTGGCAAGAGCCAGGCAGAGCCGCCCATGAAAACGTCTCCCACCTCTCCGAAAACTTGATTCTTCTCAGGTCGTTATTTAAGTTCATTAAAGAGATGCGGAGCTCATTTAACAGAAGCGCACTTGCGGAATGCTGTTGACTGACTCTGCAATATTGTCCCCGAATAAAGATCCGACCATGTAATTAATGTCTTTTTCTTTTTTCAAAAAGAGGAGGCACAATACCGTCGGTCAAGCTATTTAATTTCATTTAATTTTCCATCCCATTTGCTTCAAACACTACTTTCTCTCTGACACCGAGCCTTTTGACTGCTTTTCGGGGTTTCAGAGCGCACAGTGAAGCGGGGATTCACCCCAGCCACTTCCCCGCAAACAGAAAGAATACGTCTTCGTCTTTTTTCCTGCCTTTCCTCGGAGAATAATTTATTTCACTGTGGAGAAGTACGGGCCTTTAAAGCAGCGCAGGGGTGGATGGGAACCAGTCGCAAATGCCGAGGCGTTAATAAATAACCCCTCTGCACAGCCGGGCGCAAACATTGCGCCTATTGATGAGATTGTTCGCGTGTCGTTCAGGCTCTTTGATTGACTGTTGAGCAGCGCAGAGAGGAGAGAGAAAACGAGAGCAACACGGGATGCCTGCAGAGAGAGAGAGAGAGAGAGAGAGAGGGAGAGAGGCGCGTAATGGGTAGGCTTACCTGAACCGTTTACATGTTTGGGGGCGCAACACAAGGTCCATCTCAAATAAAATATAACGAAATTAATAGCCTACTGTATTGAAACGGAACTGTGCATGATCTTTTCTTGGTGTTAATGTATCGCCTATTTGCTGTAGGTTGTTCTTTTAGGCAAACCTCGACTTCCCGACATCTTATCAAGCTCCGATATTTGTTTTAAGATTCCTATCCAGGAGATTTTTGATGTGACAAGTTTGTCATGCCTTAGATTCAGATCCCACAGTGTCCAGGTCAGAGGTTAACGTGTTCGTAGTGTGAACTGGTCACCCACAGGGTCTTGTTCTTCTTCTCTGTCCAGACTCATCACACTAGCATCAAAAGGTTTTAAACAACCTGCTGCACAGAGCCACAAGCTGGAGGCTCCCTCTCCCTGTAAGACTCATGCCTTAATACTATAAAGACTTTGGGATCCTTTTGTTACTGGAAGCACGTGGTCTTTTTATCCTTTTGTTACTGGAAGCACGTGGTCACAATTATAAACAGACTATGATATGAACTCAAGTTCCTGATAATGTAAATGGGGCTTTGTGTTGAATGTTGTCTGCGCTGTAGATTGAAATCCATGTATCTATGTATTTGCCAACGTATACGGTCCTTCTGAATTTCTTCTGCTTTAAGTACATAAAAAACAAACTAACAAACAAAAACAAATGAACTATAAATGCGTTATCACAAAGCTAAAAGCAGGGCCCCTTTCCACAGCTTATTTAGAAAGTGTCATAGCCTACGTGGTTTTCACAGGACACCCATATAGATTTGTATTTTTAATTACAAAATCAATTAATTATTTAATCAGTCAATCAATCAGTCGAGTCAGTTAGCCAATCACTATACCCCCCTTGGTGTTTTATGTTGCCCTGACTGTCTAAGGGCGTTTATTACTATGAGTTTTATTTTTCTTTTCTCTTTTTATTGAGAAGCACTTTGTTTAAAATGATGCTACACAAGCAAACTTTTTTTGTTTGCTTGAATCAATCATTTAATCACAACTTTTTGCCTCTGGCGTTGGATAAATGGTTTAACACGTCCAGGCTAAATACATTGCATTCTCCTAATATCAACGATTTCTTTGACCTTAATTGTGGTCTAGCTTTGGGGTATAAGAGACATTCCTCTAGGACCTTATTGCATGTGATAATATAAATAAAAATGCCATATTTTCTAGCATTGCTCAGTCTTTTGTCATAAGGGATTATGTTTTGGATAACATTTCATGGTGTTATTAATAAAAATGTTATAAAATGATTTGTAAAAGTGTGATTATATCCTTGTCTTTGAACAGTCTCGATGTGTTGAAGACGAAACAAGAGAACCACGAGTGTGTGTGTGTGTGTGTGTGTGTGTGTGTGTGTGTGTGTGTGTGTGTGTGTGTGCTTTGGGGGGAAGATAATGCTTATTTAGATGTTTTTCTCTTCCTGCTGGTGGTTCTCCCTTTTCAGTACCTGCCTGATCTCAACCCGGCACACGCCGAGAGTCAATAGAAGTTAACAAGTCCTCTAAACTTCTCTGCTCCCTTTGTTAAGCTAAGGGCACAAAGGAGGAGAGAGAATAAAGAAGCTTTGAAGTATATAAAACCCTAAGAATGCCAGCCAAGTAGATTTAAAGTAGCCACTGATTTCCAAAACCTGGCTTGAAAAGGAAGAATGGAAAGGGGTGAGGATTTATGGATAAATTATACAGTGGATTTGTCAGTTAAAATATCGGAACTGTCTGGAGGACAAAGCCACATGCTGAGGATTAATGGTCGCTCTGGACCTTTGATTCTGCACCCTCTTTTCTCTGTCCTTGACAAATTGGATTTTGGGGATGGGAAGGTCGCCTGGCCCTTTGTGTCTCTTGACCGTTTTGGAGCAATTCATTATGCGGCGGGTTGAGGGAAAGTCTCCATGTGACCAGGCCGGCCCGTTTTCCCTCTCCTCACAGCTGCTGGGAGAGCCCAACTCTCTCACACTCACCCTAACACACGCACACACTCCTGCTCGCTGCTGCAAACTCAGGACCGCTCCCCCCTTCTCCTGCCTTCAGACTACCTTATAGCACAGCATCACCTCTCCGCGGCCCCCCTCCCCTCTCCCCTCTCCCCTCACATACACACTTTTGCATCCTAAGCTGGAGAGGTCCGGAGGGTGGGTTAATGGGTGCGTGGCGGCGGGGGGTGCTGGGTAGGCTACCTTGCCTGCACCATCACTTGAAAAGCCGGAGAACATAAAGCCACCTCGTCACTTTGAGGGCGGATATCGGCCAGTCCTCATCCTCTCCTCCTCTCTTCCTCCTTCCCCGCACTCTCCCACTCGGTCTCCATCCGTCTTCATGGTTCTGATCTCACCCCACGCCATGCAAGCCACCCGGGCGTCCTCCACCGTCAGTGTGTTTGCGGACTGCAGCATCCCGGCAGGGCTCCGGATTGGACCGGTACCCGGCATCTTCAAGCTGGGGAAGTACGTGTCGGACCGTAAGGAAGTTGGACCCAAGAAGAAAGTAAGTTAGACCTACTTTAAACTCTGTTTTCTCTAAGTTGGGTATAAGTTTTGCTGCTTGTTTCTGTTTGTTTTTAATACATATTCTAAAAGCTGCGTCTTGTTTTGAAATGGTCTATTTTAAAGTGACGTAGGTTAATCCAGAAATGCATCAAATAACTGGAGGCCAAATGTTACGCTACCAGTACAAAACAAAAATTAAAGCAAATCAAACAACAGCAAAATAATACTTTAAATGTCTAAACGCACTGCTCGACATTTACAATGGTATAGAAAATGTAAAAATTAGGTTGGATGTGGATCTTAAACGTGCACTGTCAGTCTCCAGTTATTACTCGTTTTGGCCTGTCACGCTGGAAATAATTGAGCTCTATTAGTGGTCGACTTGTCAGTCTCTGCTCCTACTTAACCAGCCTAATGGGCGACCCGGTGTGCCGTGTGGGGTTTCCTGCCCTCAGCTGCCTCACATTTCACTGCCATCCCGATGAGCCGTTTAATCGTAATGTAATCCGGATCCAGAAACATGCCGCTGCCTGGGGCCAGGAGAACTATTACTAACTGTGTTAAAAGACCAGATAAAAACAAACTGGAGTTATTATTCAGATTAACAGCAACGGTGTAAAAATAAAAGCCTTAAAAGACCGTCAATAATAACAACAACAACAATAATACAAATAATAATAATAATAACCTTCTAACGCGTATTTTTATACAAACAGTGTTAAACTATTTGCAGTTATAAATGCATCCATAACCTCAGCCCGCTGTTGGTGAAGCTGTCATCGGCTGACTGATGCGCCCAAATGCGTGGCCCCGGGGGCCCCGGGGGCTGCCGGAGATCATCAGGTACAATCTGTGTGTCAAATGTCAAGCTTCGATCTTAATGTCCTTGAACAGTTTAGAAACGCTCCGACACTCTTCACATTCGCCTCCCATATCAAGTCAATTAGGCCTGTGTGTCATTCTCTTTAGTAAATTAGCAGCAGAGCGCAAAAAGCAGCAGCACCTCCAGGAACACCAGACTGCCACGGGCGATAGTACTGCTCACAGATCTGTTAAATAACACCTAATAAATGTAAACAATAAATGGGGAGATTAATAGATCGATTTTAGAAAGAAAACTTTCACCCTGAGAAAGGTCACGTGCACAGCGTTCACTGAGGAACTTATTCGACTCAACATTTGTGGTTGACATGTCAAAGGGCCTTGGTGTTCATATTCCACCACACGATCAGTTACCAGTCTCACGCTCCTACTGTTTTTGTTCTCTTAGATCCGGTTGGTACTGGGCGAGTTTGTGGACGAGTCGGCCAGTCCCGTGCCAGACTGGATCGGATTCATCCGCGCTGCCCGGAACAGTCAAGAACAAAACCTGGAAGCTGTGTCGGATTTACCTGGCGGACAGGTGAAGTCTTCACCCAGTCATACTTAAAGCTATAAATGTTGTAAATGTTTGTAAATGTTGTGTCCGCCCCCCCCCTCCAGTCTGGACACCTCGGTTAACTCCGACCTTTCTGCTCCTTTTCTCTTTTTTCTCTTTTGTGTTTGAAGATTTTCTACCGTGTGCTGAGAGAAATCCCTGCAGGAGAGGAGCTCAGTGTTTGGTACTCCAACTCTTTGGCCCAGTGGTACGATATTCCCACGACGGCCACTCCCACGCACGACGAGAAAGGTAAATTTAATGGTCCGGAGTGAGGAGGGGGGGCGGTGTACTGTATAGTAACCAACCGGCCTTTGGCCACTGATGGGAAAGACAATGACTGGAAACCTACGACCATCATTATGTCATAATTCGAGTTCTGACTTATGAATAAATATGAGTAAAAGGTGGAAGATGTGGCAAGCAGTAATAACAATATTATTATTATTATTATTAATAAATTAGAGACGTAATTCAGAGAAGCAAACTGCGGGCATGTCCTCATCCTGTGCACAGGCCTGACAGTGTCATCGACATGGTGAGGGTCCATCACTGCACAAGAACTGTTAATTCCTCCTCTGAAGTTGACAGATGGACAGCTGGGTGTTTTGCCCCCCCAGGCAGCCTATTAATGTTTGTCATTTATTAATTGATTGAATGCACAATCCTAAAAGCTATATTTTATTACATTAAAATAAGCATCACTCTTGTTTGAAGGAAAATTTGTTCACCAAGAAGGACGATCGTGTGATTTGAGGTCGATAACAGCAATAATTTGATTGGTATTTATAGATGCAGCCTGTAAATATTAGTTGTAGGCGGCTACTAATAATCCATCAACAATAACAACAACAGCAACAACAATTGAATCACAGCTGTTTAGAGGGAAAACAATAGGGTTTAGGAAAGACAACAAAAACTAATGTGATGGCAAGAACATGAAATACAATAACAAGATGCCATACATTTTAACCATATACAGTATATTCTTCCCTGTTGAGATAGTTAACGATTTCTTGTTTGAATGTGTTTTTTTCACCAGCCTGTGTTTGGATTTTGAGTCAGTTTGTTTGAGCTAGTGATGATAACTTGGTGTTACCAAGCTTGGAGATTAAAGTCCTGGCTAAACACCGGTTTAGCAGGAACTAATCCGTTTAAAAAACGGATAAAAGTTATTACCAGCAGATCCTTTGCTGGTTTTTTTTTTCAAGAGGCAATGATTTTGGAGTATTCATTTCGTGTGGAGTCAGAAGGCCATCTGAACTAACTGAATGAAAAGCAAAACGGCGACGTTTGAAATGATATCAGAATTACATTGAGGAAAAAATAACTGTGGTACAGCAATTACGGCGCTTGAAACTCAGAATAAAGCAATCACAAAAAAAGCAATTAAAAGCAGAAACTGACGTGTCTCGGCGGCCGTGAAAGAAGAGGAGAAGAGGCTGGTGATTCAGTCGCGAGACGGAGGTTAACAAATGTCATCGCATCATTAATATTCATGTATTCAAAAGCAAATAAATTCAAAAACAAGTGCTTCACGGTCACTTAGATGGGTGCGTTAAGGTATTGTGGCCTAATGAATGCTAACTTTTATGTGGGCTGTATATTGCCCTGATTCTCCGGCCCTACACACCGTGTGCGCTCCTGGACATACGCTCGCTCCCATTATTAGGCGTTAACAGATGGGCCGCCGCCATTGTTTCTGAAGACTTGCGATTTCAAGCAACAGCTGCTGTCACTTCCACGGGAAAGAGAGAGACGGGAAGCCCTGCATTCAATGCATCGGTTTGTGAGCGCCAGATTGGGCAGGGCGTTTGCTCTTTTGATGGTGATCATAAACAATGGCCCGCATGAGCATTACAAAATCATTACATCTATATTAACCTCGGAGTGCCCGACTGGGGGTCATTAAGATGGATCCCTGGATCTATTGCCATTTGGCATCAGATCTTAGAAACTGGATAATATGCATTAGGTCCAAATTTCAATTTCAGCTGAAGTGCAGCAGTGGCTGATGAAAACCCTTCTCTTTAAAGGGACATTTTCAAACACACATTGATCAAATATAGCAGGGTTTAAAAAACTACATTTGGATGAATGGTCTATATTTTCTATTGCACCTGTATCACAAGCTCTTCTCGATTTATGAGCGTGGGTTCTGTGTGGGTATAGTGGTATTGAGCGCCTCTGTGCTCACACGTCGTTTCTCTACAGGTTGTAAAACCTGTTATTTTCATTTTACGCAAGGACCTGCCATTTACACATGGGATTGTACTGTTGTTATTTCATCAGTATTAACTTGTTTCACGCTATATGTGTCATGAGCCGCACCCATCCCAATATCAATGCCATGCCTACTGTTGTCTCTGCAGGTGAGGAGCGTTACATCTGCTGGTACTGCTGGAGAATATTCAAATACCCGAACACACTCAAGGGCCACATCCACTTCCACTGCGCTCCGAGCAACGGGCGGGGGTTTGTGAGTAACGAGCAGGCCAGAGGCACAGAGTCCTTCAGCAGGTCACCAAAGTCCGGAGATATTCCCACCACGTCCACCTCTCCCAGGAGCGGTCACAGTAACTCCTCCATCTCAGATTCTGGCAGGCGGGCGGTGTCCTCCTCGCCATTTCTAAACAAACCGGGGCTGCCGAGGAAAAGCAGCTCCGTGGAGCAGGACAGGGCCCTCGACATGAGCGTGACCTCAGCGAGGAACCAGGCACACCTCCTCGGCCTCGGCACCACATCTTCAGTGCTGAGCGGCATGGGCTTCCACCCCGGCGTGCGCTCTGCTTTCAAACCGACCGGCGTCTCCAAAGTCCCAGGCACAGAGGCCAGAGAGGACGCCACCGGGAAGCTGGGCGGCATGGGGTTCAGCAAACTCATCGGGAACATGAAACCAGTCCGCAGTGTGGGCGAACCTCTAAATGAAGGAGGAAACAATCCTACAAAATGCGCACCTGCAATTATAGACACCACATCTCCAGTCGTGCAGTGCACAAACGCTGTCCGGGGTTTCCCGTTGTTGCCTCACATGGAGGAGTCATCGGCTTTTAAGCACGTAGAGAGTCGTATGCATCCCGGCCTTTCCCCATCACGTTACCCACAAATGCCTCCTGGACTCCATTTCGAAAGGTTCTCTCTCTCTCATTTTGACACAGTTAAGACCTATGGTGGAGACTGTAACATCCCACTCATGCCCTTCACTGTCTATAACGGGGAGCTCCTGTACAGTTCACCTTATTATCCGCTGAAATTCCACTTCAGCAATCTCCTCAAGTACCCAGAGTCCATATCCTACTTTGGCACGCCCTCAGTGAACCAAGACCTGGGTTCAATCACCAGCATTGACCGGGAAATCGCCATGCACACGCAACAGCTGTCTGAAATCGCTGCAGAGAAAAACAGGACGAGGCTGGACGCGATGCCCACTGGAAGCGCCAGCAGCGCCGGGTCTGGCAAACCCAAAAAGGGACACCTGTGTTTGTACTGCGGCAAGCTGTACTCGAGGAAATACGGCCTAAAAATCCACATGAGGACTCACACAGGTTACAAACCGCTCAAGTGCAAAGTGTGTTTCAGGCCTTTTGGAGACCCCAGCAACCTGAACAAACACATCCGGCTCCACGCTGAGGGAAACACGCCCTACAGGTGCGACTTCTGCGGCAAGGTGCTGGTGCGGAGACGGGACCTGGAGAGGCACGTTAAGTCCAGACACCCCGGGCAGACCGTTAAGAAACCGGATGACAAACCAGGAGGCCTGTTTGAGGACGCAGAGCAAAAGAGCGACGACAGTGATGTAGATGTGTGCTTTACCGACGACCAGAGCGACCAAGAGTCCAGCAAAAATAATGACTGAGATGTTTTATGCCCATAGAAAGACTGTTCATTGTCTTTGAATTGTGTGCACAGCAAGACGTGTCATTTAGTCTTGTATGAATTCCGGCATTTTTACATATTAGAGAGTGGTGCGAGGGCGTCTGGGCCGTCGGCAGGTGCCATCCAAAATGTCCAAACTTAATGATACATTTGGCGTTGAAACATTGCTCTTTGATTTTGGTGGGGCTTGTGGCTACAAATTAAAGGTTTTGTTTCTTTTTTTTCACCATGATATAGATAAAAATCCAAAGCTCAAAGATTCCATTTGGGCACGCACATAAAGTTTTTCTCAGATATTTAGCTGTTAGTTACAGTAATCAGGCAGATAAACTACTCAGTGTCTTGCTCAAGGATATTTCAGAAATGTCTCACTTCTTCAGAGCAAATCATCTGTGGCCTTTGGCGTTTGACATGTTTTATTGTGCTTAAAAACCAATTTTGTCAGTGGTGTTCCACACAGTTTCCTTTGTTTCAGTTGCCAGTCACCACCATTGTTTTGTAGTTTTGATGCAAACGGAGAACTCTCTTCATCTGCTGTGTTTCATAACACCGAGACAACAAAAGCATGAAATCAACAGCAAAGGAAACGTGAAGACAGATTTACATCAGTTAACCACATTTTCCATTGCATACAAAACAAAACCAAAAACAATCAAACAAACAAAAAACACTATTAGGACACAGGAGACTCAATGACTTCTCACTAACATGTTCTGCAGTGTAAAAGGTTCATAGGACTGTTTTTGCCGTTATGACAAACCTTGGCGATGGCCTCTTAATGAAAGGTTTAATAAAAAATATCCATCACACGGGACCGGGACACATTCATGGGATATCATTATTTGGACAATAATTCGATTTTTTTATTTCTCAGTTGCACTTTAAAACATCAAGGGACATTTCATTCCAGCAAAACAGCCGCAAGATAATTGTTCTAATCGGGCTTAAAGAGCTGTGACTCCGTGCGCCTCAGCGGATAACACTGTATTTAAGTTTGCACTCTCTTGTCGAGGCGCACGGTGAAGGAAGTGTTTCTAAAGAAGGACAGTGTATTGACTGCAGTTATAATCTTCTGTAAAACCGTGTTGAGATTGATATTTCACGTCAGTGGCCAAGTGTTGTATTTGTTTATAAGTGACAGTGTCTAAGAGGACAATATGTTACTACTGTCCATTGAGTCTTTGGTTTTCGAATAAATTGTAATTTAAAGTATTAAAACGTTGTTTTGATGTGTTCTTTAGATGTTCCGTTTTAAACCACTAACCCTCATGTTTCACATTTCAAATCTTTTAAAAGTGCCTTGATATTTAACTGCTGCGTCAGGATTTTTAATTTGTTATTGTTATGTGCTGTGATATAATAGGCTAAAAAATCTAAAAGATATATTTAGCCGTTATGATCCAGGCTGTGTGAGGGAAAAAACAGCCTTAAGAATCTGTCATTTGTAATGATTAGTATTATTATTTTACCGCCATGGTTATGGAATAATGCGCATATTAATCCGCATGTCTTTTGGGTCGATCGGCCTGCTGCTATCAAGAAACACGCTAAGTGTTGGTTTGTCGTTTCCTAAACTGATTACACTTGTAACTCCTTTCCCAATTCAAACCCATCATTTTGTGTCTTGGGTGTCTTTCTGCCAGATATGGAATAAAACACATTCAGATTCTTTCTCTAAGTAAAATTTAAAAATCTTTACCCTAAAAATAAATGTTACTAGTATAAAAGACTGGCATTGAAATATTAGTGAAAGTATCATTATGAAATTGTACTTAAATCATCTAAATCAAATGCACAAAACCTGTGCCTATGTGTAGTTTGGATTTTTTTCTGTTGTGGAGGCTTATTTGAATTATTTTATAAGTCCATCACATAGTATACTGGTGCTCTGTAAAGTAACTAATGATAAATAACTACAGTGAGAAAAAAGCACAATACACTGGTTGAATAAAAGCATAAAGTGGCATCAGATGGAAAAAGTAACTGAAAGTTGTACTTATCACTTGAGTAAATAGGCCTTTTGCTGACAAGATCTAAAACACAGCTACTGATCAGCTGACAATAAGAAACTGAAAAAGGTAAGAGGCCATATGGTTTGTGGAAATCAGCAATAGAGCTTTGGAAAATATTGGATTAGAGCATCAGAGAGGAAGATTCAAGGTTTTGCAGTTATCCATATATCTCAGATTCTACAGTAGGTATTTAAATTCATTTAAAATATAAATATTGAAATTCCTGTGTCTGGGAATTTGTGTCTTTTTAAATATTTGCATTTCCTCTTTCTTCTTCTGCATTCCCACAAGCCTGTGTAGCTCTGTTATTAAGTTATACATTTTGAAGGGGTGGGGGTGCTGCCACCATGTATTTGGGTGTAGTGGACTCCTGCAGGCTTGGTATATAGTCGTTTCGATGGCTCCTCCGCCATCTGTCAAACTGTCTGGTCTTCACATACAGAACAGAAGAGACAACAACTGCAGCTGTTTTGAAACATTCCAGTGATGTAGTAGACGTTAATATAGTCTGTATAAATCTAAACTCTAAAGTAGTATAAGCAGCAGTATGACTGACTGACTGACTACACTGTATGTCCGTTGATTTTACTGCATACTCTGTGTCATATTAAGGACACTGAATGTATGACAGACTGGTATTAGTTACAGAGTTCCTTATACCTACCCAACATTTGTGCTTTGGTTTGCGCACAATTCCCCACTGACTGTTTGCAACAGGTAAATAAAAAAACAACTCCCAGTGACAGTAGCTAGCAATTTAATACTTTAAACTTTAATCAATACGCCATGGACTGAGGCATTTCTCCCTCTTTACAGAGTTTTGACTCCTCCATACCCATGTCCTCGCATGTTCTATATTTAAGAGGTGTAGAAATAACATAAGACATAATGGTATAAAAAGCATCCAGCCTGACTGATGACCGTTACCATGCAATACTGCTAAACTCCTGTTCATACAGTGAAGCTACTGGGTTAGTGCGCCATCGTACACTGTAAAACTGAATACATTCAGAACACTCAAAATGGAAACTGTATTTTCAGTTAACCTAATTTATTTCAGTTGATTTTTAAAATAAATTTAACTTTAGATAACTGTAACACTTTATATCATGTTTAATGTTTGCATGCTTAAATAATTAAATTCACTTATGCTTATTAAAGTTAACTGCACTCACTAATCATTAATTCAATGCATTTAATCAGGTACAACTAGTAACTATGGGAAAATCAACTCAAAATATTAAACTGTGATGAACTTAAAACCACCCAACTTAAAATTCACAAGATACCTCAATTTCAGTTAGTAATGCTCAAAAATGTGAATAAAACTCCAATGCACAATTTAAATTCTTTTTCATCAAGTAAAACAATGGGTGTCTTCAATGACATTTACAACAATTATTAACAAAGACTGAAACATGGTATATTTCATCAAAACAACCAGATGAGTGTAGCTTATTTCTATCATCGGGTTCAAAACAGAAATGAAAATGCACATCATGCATAATGTAAAGCTGAAGTAACTAGATGACTAGTGATCGCTTGAAAATCAAATTAATCTGCAATGATTCTGACAATCAACTGTTTTTGCAGGCAATGATACCAACAAACATTGCATCATTCCAATTGTTTCATTATGAGGGTGGAACTGTTGGTCAAACAAAACAAAGAGTTTCTTTGGATAGTCTAAATATACTGAAGCAAAACAATAGTACAAATACATCAGCCAACGTGACAAGTTTACTCAGAACAATTTTATGGTCAGCTGGAACAGAAAATGCTCATTTGGGCATGAGTGGACCACACCAGCAGCAATGTCAGTGACCTCGGTGAGAAGGGCAAGAGAAGTGTCCCTGGCTTATCATCCCACTGCAAAACACACAAACAACTTGGTTATTCAGATAATTCCAGAAGCAAGGTTGCATGTCATGCACTGTATACCCATCTGTGCTCTGCACACCAAGAATAAGTTTGCATTTCTCCAAGTCTATCCTGATACAGCACCCACATGCCAAAATGTTAAGAGTGATTGTTGGCTGTAATAATTCCTACTGTCCATACTGGCTGTGTAATGTCCCTCTCAACATGACTCAGCTCTAAGAGATGGAGGACAAAACTTTCTAACAGTTTGACAAAAAACTGAGCATGATCATCTTCAGGGAGGATTTATTACAGGACTGTTGGATTAGGCTGACTTAGTTTTAGCTTGGTGTACCTAATAACCTGACAACTGAGTAGTTTTAGGCATCACATACTGTATTTCCTGTGTTTGCACAGACAAAGAAATACTTCCAAGTAAGCACATGTAGGTTTGTTGCTGAACATACCAAGAGTAAATCTAAACTACTGCCAGTTCAGTGATATCCAGCTGTCTTACGCTGACAGCTGAAGCCTTATGCAGAATTAGTGTCACCTGAATTTAGGAAAAATTTTGCATGAATTTGTCCCTAATTTTTTACGGTTCATGTGTAGATGCTTCATGGGTAGTGTAGACAGGAGGAATGATTATAACCACCATTATATGTTGCATTATACATAATGCAGTTGTGTAACTTTTGTATAATTTGAAAATATCCAAATCTGTCCTTTCATCTATTCAGATCTGTAAAATGCTGGAGGAGGCATTCAAGCTGGTTTTCCATGCAGTATGATATGTTGACACTGTAGCGAGTGATTGAGTGTACTGTGTACTAACATTGCAGGTCTAGAAGAACTCGAGTCATCCTCGGACAGATGTACAGGGAGGGCACGAAGGGTCAGAGTTCATCTCGCGTTGGCATCATGTTGTTCTAATCAAAAATTACTAAAAAAAAAACATTAGGGGTGAAGGACACACTGAAGAATACATTCTTACCCACAACTCCATTTGTACGGCTGGGCATCACTTTAAAAAGTCCATCACCCATAAATCCCACATGGTGCTTGTTCTGCTGACTGTAGTGAACAGTTGGGAATGAGAAGGAAAGAATTCCTAGATTTGAGTAGTTACCGTTGTCAGAGTGGTAAAATACTCCATTACAAACAGAAAACCACTTTAGATAAGGTAATTATCTATAGCAGTAGCTCCTCTGGTTCATGGTTTATAAATTGAAATGTTCCACCACAATAATGCTCAATGGTGGTGGCTCTAGGAATGATCAGGAAAAGTAAGCAATGTTTTACAACTGAATGTAAGGTGATGCATTTATTTTCTTAGTGGATCAGATTAAATGTATTCCTTATAGTAGCTTTAAGATAACAAAAAGGCCAGTGTAATGCACACGACACCTTTCACACAGTAAACATGTATTCTTATTATAATTAGTCAACAATGTACACCACGATTTAACCCACAGGAATGATTGTAATTAACCACAAAGTGTTTTCACTGTCAGCAAGGGAACAACTTCAGAAGCTCAGTGTTATGTGCCGTTCGCACCTGTCAGTGAGCGAACGAGAAAGAGGTGGACCCAGGTAGCCGACTTCGGTGCAAGCAGTGATTTATTATGTACAGTGATGAGGAGAATAAAAATGCACAGAGGGAAATAGTGCGTAGTCCTGTCGATGAGTAGTAGCCGGGTGTTTGACCAACAGCAGGAGGTGAGGAGATGGAGAGCTGGGCCGAGCTGCGTAGGCTGGGTCACTCCTGGGCTGGTCGGTGGTGATGGTGGCTACTGAAGGTAGAGACAGAGAGATGAAGGCAATAGTGGAACAGATAGGCGACTGAGCATTGACCTGCCTGGGAGGAGAGAGTGGAGCCACGGTCTGGAGGAACAGTCCATGGGGAGAACACAAAACAGTAGCTGGCTAGGGGAGAAATACATACCAAACAACGAGAGAGCACGGAGAAAAAATGGCCTAGAGACGAGAACGAACTGGCAAGTGACTGAGGAGTGAAACCAGGTAATATAGTGAGCAACCTAATCAAGTGCAGCTGGTGATAAGGGAGTGAAGAACAGGTGAACGTGATTAGTGTTAATGGGCAAGAGACAGTAGGAAAGGTGAGGGAGGCCAGAGCGGCCGAGCAAACCTGACACTCAGGGCTGACCGTCCCTATATGTGTCTGCTCCCCTGTGTTCATTGTACCCTCATATTCACTTCTT